CTCCATCATCTTCTCCTTCTCCTCCTTCCTCTCTCCTAGGTCCTGCCCATTAAATATACTCCCTTTTATTCTTCTTGTCTATTTTCTTTGCCTTTTTCATGCTCCCCCTCCCCACCTCATCTTTTTCTCTCCTTCTCCTCCACCCCTCCTGACTCTTCATTCTGGCCTCTTTTCTTCTTCCAGACTCCCGCTTCATATTTCTTTTCGTATTGATCTTGAGAGGGTTTATTACAGGTGTTCACATCTCTCCCTCACCCCCCGCCAAACCTCTCATGACCTTTATGAGCCTGGCAATGTCGCATTATGGCAGCTCCTATTGATAAAGATTATGCCCATTTTACAGAACTGTAAGGTCGAGCGGGGTCCTCTTGACGCAGAGTGGACAATACTATAAAACAGATCAAGCTTGCTTTGGTAAGCTCTCCTTGGCCTTTCTATCCTGAACCGGGGCTTGCAAAATGCCCTTCATCGGAAAAGGATTTTTCTTGCGCTCAGCAAAACCAACCGTTAAGGTCGGAAGTGTTCAAAGGCAGGAAAAACTCGCAAGAATTTTTAATGCCACTAAGTAGCGAAATAAATCTCTTTCCTTCACTTTGAATGTGGCAAACCCTTGTGCTGTTGGCAAAAATTAAGGGAGGTTTGTTGCTGAGAAGCTGAAAAAAACTGGGAAGAAGGAATGGCAAACCTCTTCCATCATGCTGCCAAGACCGCCACAGAGATACCTTTCCCACCCACATCTATCTATTTATTTTAAATAGACCTGACATCTTACTTTAAGCAAGTTGTACCATCTTGCCATAACCTCTGTTTGCATCCCTTAATCCAGTAATAAATGCCATAGGGCAGTGGGCATGAATTCCCATCAAAGGAGTCCTCAAAGCCACACGCCACAGCAACAGAGCACGATCAAAGCACATTGGCATACATGGAACAATATTTTTCTACGAAGCACGAGAACAATTAGCAAAGTGGTACGTGTCATGTTCTCTTTCCCCCCCACCCCTCAACTTCTGAATCACAGCATTAGAACTGAAACTCTTTTGGGGAATTGGAGAACCTCCCCCAGTTCGAAATGTACTGAGTCTGTCTGAGAGCCAGCAAGGTGAAGGTGGGCCGGCCTGTGCAGACCCTCTCCTGAGTAATGAACTACTCATGAGTAATCTCCCTTCAGGACTAGCAAGGAGGCGTCAAAGCTGAAATCTGGGTGGGCGTCTTCAAACGGTCTCCAAGTTGCTCACCAATGCATGAGTCCCGCTTGAAAAAACACTCCAGTTCCACTCAACGGTTTGAACCGATTCCGAAAATCAGTCCAGTTTGCATCCAATGTCCAATCTGGTTCAGGCTGAAATCTCAGAACGGAATTGGATTGGATTCGGATCATTTCAGATTGCTGAGTCTGTTCAGGTACTTATCTCACCTCTGGACTTTCAGAGGAGCTGAACACTCCTTCTTAGGGACAGTCTGATTGTCCTGCCCATTGCAGAGGGTGGGGCTGGATCAGTGTTTTTCAAACTTGGCCATTTTAAGATGCTTGGACTTCCACTCCCAGCATGCTGGCTGGGGAATTCTGGGAGCTGAAGTCCAACATCTTAAAGAGGCCAAGTCTGAAAAACACTGGACTAGATCATCGTTGGGGAACCCTTCCAACTCTACCATTCTATGATTCAATCTAACTAATAAAATCAGGTGGTCAATTTGCCGAAGCCATTCACCATCTAATATCCTTTTGTATTATTATTGATTGATTGTGCACCATCAAGTCGTTTTCAACTCCTAGCAACCCCATAGATAGATTTTCTTTATTATTAATATCCATACAGGCCAAAAACAACCTATGATGACTTCTCTGTTGGCCTTCTTTAATCAGATGTTTGCTTTCTTTGTTGTATTCACAGGTCCCCCTGACTCTCCTTCTACTATCCAAGAACAGATTTATTCTGCTCAGAGCCATGTGTACAAAAACTTTTCCCATGCAGTTCATGGTATCCAACCATTTCGGTTCTGATAACGTAACTCTGAGAAGTTATCAAGGCCATGAATACTTTCCCATACTCCTCAATTAGATATTTTGCATTAGGGATTCACCGTTGTTAGCTTGCTTTCCCCAAGAGCATTTTTCTAAATCTCCACTGTCTTGAGTCAAAAGAAATTTGCAACCATTGGCAGGTTTCTATGGAACTAAATTCTCACCCATTCCTAGTTTTCACCAGCCGAGCAGAGCCACCACATCTGAAGAGCTTTTGGTGGGACCTCACCTAAGACGTCCAAGGAACCTATTTCCAAGTATGTGGCTGAACACAACTGCAGCTTAATCTTTTCTGGCCTTGACTCTGTAGTGCTTCTGTTGGTCTTCAAAGGTCCTTCACATTTGTCTCTTGTTGGCTTGGCTGCAACAGACCCAACTTTGTGTTTTTGGCAATTGGATTTGAGCAGAAGGTCCTCAGTTTCTCAAAGTATGGTGCCATCGACACCATCTATCAAAGCTGGAGCCGAAGAACTGGAGACCGAAGACGCAAGTTCCCACAGATATCTTTGAGAAAGGACCATGAATAAGAGCATCAAAGGACTGATAGAAGAAACAGTTCTCTGTACATTTATTTGATTTTACTGTCAAGCTTCTATTTAACTGGAGTTGCCAGTCAGCCATTTGTTTAAGTTTGGATGGAAAAGTGACGTTGGCCTCCCTGGGGGAAGCTATACGTGGGCTGTTGTCCTGTCTTATTTTGCACGCTCCACATGAAAAGCCTGGTGGGAATCGTTTGGAAGACCGTAACAGGCATCCAGGAAGGAAAAGAAAGGGAGACATTTTCTAAGAATGCGTAGAGAAATTGCCGTTAAGAACCTATTTATTTTACTGCGAGGCAGGAAAAGTTCTACATTTTTCTCCCACTGTTCTCATCCCAGCTGATGGCCAAGAAGGGGCTTTCAACATTTCTTTCTACAGAGAGGGCCTTGGCAGAATTGCCCCAGAGGCAGCCTGGTGCTCTGGCCCTGATTTATTAGCACGTGGCTCAAGGAAACATTGGCAAGTAGGTTGGCCTTGCCTGGGCCAAATTCTCCCTGGTGCTCTGTTTCCCAGTGGAACGAGAGAGCAACTAGTTCAAAGTGATGGAAGGAGGCCGAACACCACCTCCGACTTCTAATCCACTCGAAAGCCATTGGGGAAAAATTCTCCATCACCCTGCAAATAAGTAGAAAACCAGAGGCCCCTTTGGAGGAGAAGGGGAAAAGAAATCTGAGAAATTGGCCTGCAAACTTTGGCCTAGATTTCTTTTTTGTTTTGCACAATTTTTATTAAAAGTTTTAAAGGCAAGAATGCAAGCTAAATTAGGACCAAGAAAATGAAAGAGAAAGAACAGAAAAATCTAAAAATGCCATAAGAAATCTTCTTTGGGGAGATCAAGGTGCCATAGATCCTCTTGTTTTTCCCATAACAACCACCCTGTGGAGTAGATTGGAGGAAGCAATTCCTCCTAGGCCTTGACCTCTGAAAACATGACCTGTGAGTTATACCAACGTCTAAGCAACTTCTTGATTGGTACAGACTAAATTTGGACGGCCAATTGTAATTTGACTGCCAAAATGCAGGTGGCCATTCGGTGGCGGTCATGAGGCAAAGAAAATTACAACTGTTTGGATACCACCTAAAGGTTCTCAAGGTCTTCACCACCCAGGTCCGGTGCAGTGCAGAAGAACAAGCGAGAGAGATCCACAAATCAAACTCACAAATGTTAGTCTTCTACTTTGAGTAAACTCTCCTGGGAATGTATTCTGGTCGCCCAGCTTTCCCTTGTAGGAAACAAACTCTCAACTTGCTAAGGGGGAAAACATTTCTCTTTCTTACTTGGCCAAAAAAAAAGAATTGGAAATGTCATGGATTGTTTTGATTTTGGCACTGGGAAAGTTTTTGCCCATGGGACGAACTACTGTGCCTTACTCTGGAGCATTTTATTAGTAGTAGTCGTCGTCGTAAAGTATGTGTGGCTATGCAATTTCAGGAAATGATAAACTTCATATCTGCACCCAGAATCAATCATCAGTCATCGCAATTGCATTAATGCATGTCTTCTTCTTCTTCTTCTTCTTCTTCTTCTTCTTCTTCTTCTTCTTCTTCTTCTTCTTCTTCTTCTTCT